GAAGAACTCGAGAGCGCGCTCACGCTCACGCTGGGTGCGGTCACCGTGAATGGAGGTGGCGGGGAAGCTCTGGTTGATCAGGAAGTCTGAAAGAGAGTCGGCCATACGCTTGGTCTCGACGAAGATGAGAGTGAGACCAGCGCCGTGGGTGTGGAGAATGTCCAAGAGCACAGAGCGCTTGTCGACATCCTCGACGTACTCGACCTTCTGAGTAATGTTCTCAGAGGTGGAACCGACACGACCGACGGACAAGAAGACGTAGTCCTTCAAGAAGTCGCGGGCGAGCATCTGGATGTCGCGGGGGAAAGTGGCCGAGAACATGAGAGTCTGGCGGTTCTGGACGTTGGGCATGTCCTCACCCTCGACAATGCGGCGAATCTGGGGCTCGAAACCCATGTCAAGCATGCGGTCAGCCTCATCGAGCACGAGGTACTTAATGTTCTGCAGGGAGATGCGACCACGCTCTATGAGGTCGACAAGACGTCCCGGAGTAGCAACGAGCAAGTCGCAGCCGCGCTCGATCTGGCGAAGCTGGGAACCAATGTCGGCACCACCGTAGACAACGCAAGGGCGGACCCAGGAACGGTACGCAAACTTGCGAGACTCTTCGTAGATCTGGGAGACCAGCTCACGGGTGGGAGCCAGAATCAGGGAGGTGGGGTAAGCCTTGCGCTGGCGACCGAAGCCACCCGCAGCGTTGGGAGGAACTGCAGAAGGACCGTTGATGAAGGCCTGGGACAGAATGGGGAAGAGGAAACCACCAGTCTTTCCGGAACCAGTCTGGGCACAAGCCATGAGATCACGACCACCCATGACGATGGGGATCGAGTACTTCTGGACGGGGGTGGGGACCTTGTAGCGGGCCATCTCGATGTTGCCGATGAGGTGGTTGTCGAGGGGAGGGTTCGAGAAGGTCAGGACGGGCTCGGGAACGTCATGTCCAGAGGCCTCAACGGGGATGTCGTCGTACTTCTCGAAGTTGATACCGGTGTGCTGCTTGGACGGATCGTCGGGGGTACCGAAAAGCTCACGCTCAACACGGGGGTTGACGGGGCCGGGAATGTGCTTGCCGTCGCGCCACTGACCGTCGCCAGAGCCGCGAGCCTGGCCACCGCCGCCGCCGGCGTGACCACCGTAGCCGCCACCGCTGTAACCGCCGCGGCCACCGCCCTCGCCTTGCCAGCCACCACGACCACCGCGGGGGTGGAAGTTTTGCTGAGGAGCAGGGGCAGCAGCGGGGGGACCGCCGGGACCGCCAGGGCCGCCCATGGCAGGCCAGTCGCCGCCGGGCTGAGCAGCGTTGAAGTTCTGCTGGTTGCTATTGTAAAATGTTAGCCACTGTCGCCAATACTCAAGGCAAGCGGGCCAAATACGCCCTTATCACGAGGAGAGGGAAGGAAGGACTCACCCAGCAGCCCAAGCGCTGTTGTTGATACCACCACCGCCACCGTTCATCGCCGGAGGAGCCGCACCACCCATCTTACGCATGTGAGGCGGGATGTACGAGCGGGGTTGGTTCTGCTGGTCCTGAATGTTCAGGCCAGACATGTTGAGTTGGTCAGCCATGATGGGTGATTTGATCGTGACTGTAGTTGGAAGACTTTGTTTGCTCGAGTGTCGACGGAAGGGTATGTGGAATCGATCGACGTGGTCGGATTACTCTCGAAACGACTGAGAAAACAGCGAAAGAGTAAAAAGTCGAAGTGAAAGGAAGCCGGTCCGCGGTTGAGAGAAAAGCAAACCGAAGGATGGAAAAAAAGAGGGAGAAGAAACAGAAAGTCGGGGCGTTGACTTTCCAAAGTTTGTCCTTCTCGGGGTTCGTCTATTAGGCAGGCGCGTAGTGCTCAGGCGCACGACGATTAGTTCTGAAGACTTGCTTTTCCCAAGATGCGTCAAAGAAAAGACAAGAGAACAGGTGATGAAATGTGATGTGTCGGTGAGGGGGATGGGGGGTTGAAGGAATATAATCCCTTTTGTTTTTGTAAGGTGGGAAGAGTTTTGTGTGGGAGGAGGGGGGGAGGTTGTGGGAGGGAAAAGGGATTTTGAAGATCGGAGGAGGAGGCAAGAAGTAGGGGAGAAAAAAAAATTCGGTTTGAGATTGTGTCGGAATCCACCAGAAAGGCCACACACCCCTGCCAACCTGGCTCCGTCAGCACTGGGCGCTGCTGGCCATGGCACCCACGCACCCCAACCATACCTTCCCTCCCGCAAAAATTTGGGGAGGCGTTCCTTCCCTTGTTTGCACTCCGCGGTGATGAGAGTCTACGGGCTGCCCTTGCCTCGACTGGACTGGGCCTGGCCTGGACAGGAGCACAGCCAGTGCCTGCCTTCCATCTTGAGGCACCCGACCTTACGTGCTTACTTCCAAGTTCCTAAGGTAAGGTAAGTTCCTGGGGCACACGCCTGCCGCCCGCTCAGGCTTCAAGCAGGCAAGAAATCCGTCAGGACTCAGGAGTAAGGAACCATGAGAACCTACCTTACCTTACCTTACGGGAAATAGATAGTGAGAGCGCACGACAGGCTTCAGGCTCCCTCTCAGCCGCTACAGCCCGCCCAGGGGGTGGATAAGCAAAGCACCGGATTGGCCACCCTCGAGGACGTGTAGCATGTGCTTGCTTTCTACAGGGTGAAGGGGCCAGAAGTATGATGACATGTGAGGTGACAGGCCACGCTAAACTCTCTCCAACCAACAACCATCCAGGTTTTCCATCCCCTTCGTACTAAATTTTTTTTCCTGAGTCACTATTTCATCGCCTTCTTCTTGGGCTGAAGAGGAGGGAGGGAACGGGAACCAATCCAGCGACAGTCTTTCGACTGGACACCGCAGAAGGAGATACCGACGAAGAATAACGTCGGTACGTACCGTTGGGAGGGTGCAACGTGCTCGAGTGCCCTTACCTCAGCTGAGGTGAACAAACGTCACGTCCATCCATCGCTACGGCCCGCGCATGAACGGACCCGACCCTTGGAGTCCAACACGGCTGGGTGTTCCGATCCTGTTACTGCGTGCAAGTTTGAATTTGGCGCTCCCTCGTGTCGGCCAACTCTGGATTATTCCATGGCCAACACGTCGAAGTGAGGATTATTACAGAAGGTTGGTACCTACCTAAATGAGGTGATTTCTTGGCTGGGTACGCAGTCCTGGGGCTGGTTTATTGGTGGCCGGGCCAGACTAGCGTTTGTATCCGCAGACGGGAAGAAACAAGACATGAAGCTCGGGGTTACAGGGTGCCCCGCAAGTCGATGGTATGGATATGGAAGGCTGGAGATTGGACTTCAAGTGGCGATAAGATATAGAAAGGTAATAATAATGATATGATAGTGAAAGGGGACTTATCAAGATGAATAGCAGGAAATCGATTTTGTCACTCACTTGCAGGCCTCTTCTCCCATTCCTTTTTGCCTCTTGACTTCGTGATCGTAAGAAAGCCTTGGCTGTAACCCTGGTCATGGACGACTTGGATTATATCAAAATTTTCTTAGGTACATACGTGGAGAAATACATTTCATTCAATTATCAATGCTGTTGATAATAGCGGTGGAACTGCTTGTCGGATGTGTCGCGCGCAAATCGATTTTGTCACCCACTTGGCCTGTTCTGTTTGGTGACATTTCACTGCACCATGACCACAAACAGAACGACTGGGACCTTGCTTTCCGACGGGCTCCCTAAACCATCCATCTGTGTGCGGAGACTGGTGCCCATTGGAGCAGCAAAATTGAGGATATAGGTTTGGCACTCAGTCCCCATCAGCGGATTATTTCCATTGGAGAGCAGACGCATGGTTCTCATGGCGAAGGCATGTTTGGGTAGAAGAAGCCTTAGATCACGCCCGCCAGTACTGAAAGACGTCATTTCGTGGGGGCCACCCGCAAAGGCTTCGCTTCTAAAGTCTTCCGGTGGCGGTGCACCAGTTTCCTGAAAACCCCGACACCACAGCACAAGAGATATCAATGTAAGATTCGAACCTGCATAGAACACCGATAGAAGACCGCAAAAAGGGGAAGGAAAAATGCTTCAAGCGTCGTCGTCGAACAAACATCGGAGCCGCCGAACCCGCCAGGTGCAACTTATAAACCAATAAAGAATCGATGCGCGACTAGTCAGCCACCAAAAAAGACAGGGAAACATCCAAGGTCTGAAGGGTCAAAAGGCGAATGGTGCGAGTCAAACGCCGGAGGGGTTCAAAGATACAAGTTACAACGGTACATCCGGCGGGGGGGGGGGGGGGTCTTGCCGTCTCAGTGTCTGAACCTGTGGATCGGTCAACCGGCCGGAACATCATCCGCCCAGTCAATCACGTACATCCCTCATCTTCAGTCCAAAAGGAATCGGCGACATCCTTACTGCGTATAAAACACGCGAGAGATTGGACGAGATAGATACTTGGGGCTGGCTCTCGGCTGAAGCGCCAAACTTCCCAGGTTCCTCAAGGCAAAAGAACCGAACGATTCGAGCGGTTCCGACCACTGCTTTTCTTCTGGAAAGTGAGCGGCCCGGCACCCGTTTCAGGACCTTGGACGCCTTTCTGGAACCGTACCTATGGGAAAACCGTGACCTCACCGCTTGGACTAACCACCCTCTCTCGATTCCCGTTTGCTTCCCAACGCTTGACTGAGTCGCTCCCACTACGACGGTAGACTGATACAGCAACCATCACACTGCTGTCGAGCACGATTCGGGACTGCCCTGTGTCGGCCGGAAGAGAATGGCATAATCCCGCTTCTTCATAAACAATGCCGTCTTGTGTTTCTCCGTGCCGATGATCCCATCCTGAATCGCATCAGCATATCTCATACTAGATGAAGCACGGGACAACGTCTCTCCAGGAATGGCGTTTTGTCGTGATAGAACTGATGCCTGTATCAATTACCAGCCCGGTCTAGTAGTACAGTTTTGCTGGTTATGGCCTCTTTCTCTCTTGTTCTCTGATGCTCCCTCGCACCACAGTCCCAAAAGGCCCCTCATTTCCCGTCATCGCATCCGCATCTCAGCCACCTCAAGCAGCCTTCACCACCTTGTCGTCATCGAACTCTATGTCCACGATTCCGTCCTTGGTCACAGCCTTGACCGTCATGCCCTTGAAGTCGATGGGTAACCGTCTCTTGAGCTCATCCGTGCACAGGTTGAGGATCTTGATGCCCTGGCCTAGCGTGATATCGGGGTGGTGGTGTTTATCGAGGATTGACAGGCAGTAGTATCTGTTTGCATCACCAAATTAGCCCCAACGACTCCTTGATTCTAGCTCGGGAGCTTGGCTGAAGGAGCTTCACCGAGAAGCTCCAGTGCTGGTCAACGTACTGTGCGTAGCCGTGGGCGGCGTATGGGAGGGGCGCCAATGACGCAAGGTAGTCCAGCCAGTACAGCGCGGGTTTCTGTGTGATGGGGTCGACGCCGCCGAGGAGCAGGTTGACGTTGTACGGCTTCCGCGACCGCAAGCTCGAGGCAAGCTCGCCACGAACGAAGTTGGCGAGGCCAGAGGGGGACAGGTCTGTCTCATTGCGCATCGAGTAGAGCTGGGAGTTTGCTTGGATGTAGTCGGCGAATTGCACTATACATTGCAGAGTTCGGGTCAGCACATCGAAGCTCGTATATCGTGACCGAACTGGGTAGAGGGGTTGGATTCGGTGCTCGCCCCTCCATCTCCGGCGGGGTTGGGAGCTCTATGATGCAGGAGACTAACCGGTATCACCAGACTCTCCAGAGTATGCGATCAGTGTGTGCTTGTTCAGGGATCTCGTCTTGTCGTCGGCAGTCTTCAGGACCGTTGCACCGCGCATGGCAGCTTTGGAAGCTGCAATGATGGTGAAGTCCTTGCCCGTGATACCCAGTAGTACCTCCCTGTCAATCGCACTCCATATTAGCTCACTGCATCTCTGCCGAGCAGATAATCGAGGAGCTGGTATCTCACATTTTGACTGTGGTTCTGGTTTTGGTCTGCTTGGTTTGCTGTGGGAGAAAACGTTGGTGATGTTGCGTTCGTTGGTGTTGAATGTCGGTTGTTCGTCAGCCTTCGACCTGCCTTCGAGCTACCCCCCGGAACGCGCAGTCAAGCTACAGCCTGAACGGATGGGCCGTCCTGGGCGGATTCTGCCTAGCTAGACCGCTGCCCGCCCGGAAAAACCACCCCTGCTTAACTCACTCATGATTGGGTGCATCCATACCCCACACAGCTATCTGATTCTCCGAGATACGTACCCACCGAACTTTTTTTTTCTGGCAAGCCCACCTCGAGCAGCCAGGCGAAAAAAAAAAATATCGTCAATGTAGGCGGGCCAGGACGGAAAGTTGTTTGCCCAGATTCCCAGGCAAAGCATAGCGAACGGCGCTCTCTCTACCGCCCACAATGTCGTCTTTCTTCACGATACCCGGCGCCAACAAGAAACGCAAGCGAACAGACGGCCCCGCGGCCCCCAAGAAGCGAATTGCCGCTTCAAAGACGTCTAACAGAGCCCCTCCGAAATCTGCTGCACCGGCCAAAGGCGGCAGCAAAGGCAAGAAGCCGACAGCGTCAGCACCAGCCTCCAAGAAGCGAAATGAGCGCGACGACGACGACGAATCGATCTCGGGCAGCGACTCTGACCTCGAAAGCATAGTCTCCGCCCCGGAGGAGAGCGACAATGGCTCCTCTTCCGACGACGAAGACAACGCGGGCGAGACGGCCGCCGAGCGCCGGCTGAGGCTCGCCGAACGGTACCTCGAGAACGTCAAGCAGCAGGTGGACGAGGTGGGGTTCGACGCCGCCGACATTGATCGCGACTTGATCAACGAGAGGTTACAAGAGGACGTGGCCGAGTCCAAGGGAAAAGTCTACCGCACCCTCGTCGACGAGCTCGCCTTTGACCGGGCGACCTCGTCCTTCTTCCGCAACAACACCGAGACCTTCACCTCCGTCGCCGTCAACGCGCCCTACGCCTACACCACCACCAAGGACATGTACCTGCACAAGTGGAGGATACAGGACCTGCCCCAGCACCAGTTCCCGCAGACGACCAAGAAGAAGCCCAAGAAGCCGCCAGCGCCGCCGCGCAAGAGACCCGAGCTCGAGAACTGGCTGAGGGGCAACCTGGCCCAGGCCCAGAAGAAGTCGTACCAGCGCCACGTCGAAAAGATACTCTGCGTCGCGGCGTCGCCCGACGGCAAATACGTCGTCACCGGCGGCCAGGACCGCAGGCTCATCATCTACGACGCCGAGACCCTCAAGCCCCTCCGCGTCTTCACCCACCACCGCGACGCCGTCACCGGCCTCGCATTCCGCCGCGGCACAAACCAGCTGTACTCGTGTTCAAAAGACCGCACGGTCAAGGTCTGGAGTCTGGACGAGCTCGCCTACATTGAGACGCTATTCGGCCACCAGGACGAGATTGTCGACATTGACGCCCTCGCCCAGGAGCGCTGCGTGAGCGTAGGCGCCCGCGATAGGACAGCACGCCTGTGGAAGGTTGCAGAAGAGACGCAGCTCGTCTTCCGCGGCGGCGCGGTGGACAAAAAGTCCCGGCCAGACGTTGACCCGCGCTCCCTCCCGCACGAGGGCAGCATGGACCGCGTGGCCATGATCGACGACGAGCTCTTCGTCACCGGCAGCGACAACGGCTCCCTGGCTCTCTGGAGCGTCACGAAAAAGAAGCCCCTCCACATCTTCCCCATGGCCCACGGCCTGGAACAGCCCCTCCGGCCGGACGAGGTCTCGGCCGACCACAACCCAGATCCCAGCATGGTGCCGCCGCCGCAACCGCGGTGGATCACAGCGCTCAAGTCGATCCCGTACTCGGACGTTATCCTCAGCGGCAGTTGGGACGGCTGCATACGGGTATGGCGTCTAAGCGAGGACAAGAGGAAGCTCGAGGAGGCGGGGATCCTCACATCAGAAGCCGAGCAGCAGGCCTCAAAGGCTGCCAAGGGCAAGTCAGAAGGTGCCGCTGGCGGCTTGAAGGGCGTGATCAACGACATTGCCATCTTTGAACGCGGAGAGCGCGGGCAGGATGGCATCTGTGTCGTAGCAGCAGTAGGCAAAGAGCACAGGTTGGGCAGGTGGCAGATGCGCAAGGGCACCGCCAAGAACGGAGGATACGTGTTTGAGGTGCCAAAGGTGGTGAAAAAGCCGGAAGTCAACGGTAACCATAATGATGCATCGGATTCGGGAAGCGAGTAAAGAAAAGCATATAGAGATGTTCCCTTTAGGAGAGGGGCGTTTGGGGAAAAAAGCACTTACTTATAGAGGATCTTGTACCACAATGTACGAACTACGAGATGAGCCTCTACTCTCTGTCAAAGCGACGTAAAAAATTGCAGCCACTCTTCGAGAAAAAAATGTCTATCTCTTTGATGTGCTTGGGACGCCATGCAACGTTCTATGGGTATGAGGACATAGCTATGCCATTACACACTATTTGGACAAACGCCTTCGCGCCAACCAGTCCAGGAAAACGAACGCTGTATCTCTCATCTGCCAACCTCCACGACAGATCCAATCGCTTCTTTGTCTCCGCCTCTCCTCAATCGTTACTTAACGGGGTATCATGGTTCGGTTCCTGCTCAGTTCACGGTAAGATCCACCGTCTCAGAGCCGTTCGCAGGCCTCTGGATTTTGTTGAATGAGCTCTCGGCGTCCCGCTCGATGCTCGGTATCGCCCTATTCCTTGCTCGCTGGTCTTGCGGAGAAGGCTGCTTCCTCTTTTTAGGAGACCGAGGCGGCGACTTGACCTCAGAGTAAGAACTCTTCTGCGTGATAGTGTTTGTCAACGTCCGAGGCGACGTCTTTGGAGCTTCCGCGTCTTCGATAATGATGCTCTCTTGCATTCTGGCATCCGTCCCGGATGTGAGGCTCTGCCCTGGCATCGACTCGCCGGAAGATTGCAATTCACCGAGCAGTTGTTGGCTCGGCGAGTCACCCTTCTGAGGTTGGGATTCAGGCTTTTCATCCTTGCGAGCAGCCTTGGGCGGTGGAGAAGACAGTTCGCATAGTATTTCCTCACTGATACTGAGTTTCCTCTTAAAACCCCGGACAGCTGCCTTTCTTTGCTCGGCAGACTGGGCTGGTGAAGACGCAAGCGGCTGTAACATCTTGTGACTGTTGCCCGGTTTCTTTTTTGAACTTCGAGAACCTGGTACCACTTGATCGGAAGGCTGAGCCGGCGTCGATTTCAGTGCGGAGAGCATTTGGTTCTCGTCCACCTCGACCGGCTTGGTTCTTGAAAAACGAGGACTTGTTCTGCGAGGACTGGTTCTGAACCGGCCTCCAGTTGAGTTGCCGCTGCGCGATGCCTCCCGAATTGGCGTCGCTGGCGGCTCGAAACTGTCCACGAGAGTCCGCATCACGTCGCATTGCTCGTTGGTCGGGAGAATGGTGTTGCCAGGTAATACAGAGCGCTCGGCTGCCGGGCCAGGTTCACAAGCTTCGATATGCTGTGCATTGGGCTCGACCTGCGGCGTCTTCTCCATCCTCGGGCCTTCCTTGACTCCTACGGGTTGAGCAATGCCCGAGACTTCCTCGATCCCAGTAGTGGTAAATTTACCCTGCTTCGAAGAATCGGGATCTTCAGAGAGAGAGGTTGCGTCGCCTCCCTCGATTTTCGCCGGCGGGCTGATGCCATTGTTGGGAGGCAGGCCTATGGCTGGAGACCCTTTGACAGTGGATGACGGATTCTTTGGCACGTCAGGCACTGGCTGAGGAGTTCTCGGGGGCGCAAGCTCGCTCTCTTGACGTTCATCTGGCAGGATGCCGGGAGTAGGCTGTCCAGTAGACATGCGCTTAGCTTTCCTCTCTGCCGCCAAGGTGGCATTCTGTAGTTTCCTCTGTTCGATAATGATGGTACGGAGTTCGCTTCGCATCGCGGGGGACGTGATGTCCCAATCTAGCCGCTCCTTACGAACTATTCTGGTGACCACGCTGTCAGGGTCCTTCAGGAACTCACGCATGTAGCCCAGGAGAAATGCGCCGCAACTTGCGTGATCTTCCTGCTCGGGGATTTTCTTTGCCGTCAATCCAAAGGTACCAGGTGGTTCGATTGCCATGTTGCGCTTATCTTTGGCTTCTTGGACGAGGTAGGCCTTCAGATTGCCGCAAGTAGGGGAGTGCCCGACGCCGAGAGAGTCAAGAGTGATGACTCTGGCTTCTGTGGGATCCTGCTTCCGAAAAGCGATTCCCGTGCTTTTGCGTACTTGACGTTGCTTCGTAGACGGTCCCTTGTCTTTCTTCCCAGGCCTCGGCTCTTCCTTCTTCTCTTCTTCCCCAGGTTGGCTCTCTTCCAGACTCATCAGTTCGACTTGCTCGCCAACAGTAGAAACTATGCCTTCGTCCGACCCTACTGGTTTCTCCTCTGGGGTTCCCTTTAATTCTTCTTTAAACTCATCTAGAGATTTGCCATCTTTGACTTCGGGTTCACCGTCATCTGTCTTGAGCAGCTTGGATGGATGACAGATGATTGCCAGATACCAGTGAGCACTCTCATTGACGGGCACCACGATGTAGTCGTAGGCGAAAAGGTCGACCTTTGCAGTCCAGGATTTGACGCCTTCGTAGTTGATCCCCCGGCCCGCCTTGGTGTCAGTCAGTTTCGGATAGAAGTAAGTGTTCATAATGTAGATACGGTCGGAAAGTTTTTTATTCTGCTTTTCCAGGTGAACTTGAAGGTACCGTAGGTAGAAACCAATGAGATTGTCGTTCAGGTATTCTCCTTCTTCCAGGCGCGAAATATCATCACGATAGACTGACGCTCTGTTCTTTCCCGTAGCTGGGAAAATAAGCGGCTTCTCGTTCCATATCTTGTCCCAATCAGGGTTTTGCTGTATCCACGAGACGGGGCTTGGGGATTTGCGTTTGGGCATGCCAAGAGAAGATTCCTGGACTCGTCTGGCGGTGCTCCTTGCTTCCCTGGGCGATTCCTTGGCCTGTCGAGACTCAGTCCCGGTGTCATGGCTGATGGGAGCGAAGTAGGAAGACGTTGTAGTGTCGGGTTTTGAAGAACGTGACGGCGTAATCTCGGGCTTCGACGAACGCGATGAGTCTTCGGCCTTCATACTGCCGCGA